TACTACTACTACCACCACCACCACTACTACTACTGCTACTACTTAAATAGTTACTATTCTACTACTACTACTACCACCACCACCACTACTACTACTGCTACTACTTAAATAGTTACTATTCTACTACTACTACCACCACCAGTACTACTACTGCTACTACTTAAATAGTTACTATTCTACTACTACTACTACCACCAGTACTACTACTGCTACTACTTAAATAGTTACTATTCTACTACTACCACCACCACCACCACCAGTACTACTATTGCTACTACTACTACTTAAATAGTTACTATTCTACTACTACCACCACTACCACTATTGCTACTACTACTACTTAAATAGTTACTACTATTACTACTGAAATAGTTACTATTCTACTACTACCACCACCACCAGTACTACTACTGCTACTAAAAATTAAATAAAAAACCAAAACAACATAGATGTCATATGTAACAGATTGGACAAAGAAAAGCTGAATGAGTAAGACATGCTAATGCTATGAAACAAGGTCATATCTACTGGAGTTGAAGCTACTGAAGGAAGAAAAAATTAGCAAGACAATAATTACTACCACCACCTGTCGAATACACTGTACTTACACATAAAAATGCTATTGTATTCATTGCTTAATTCCATCCTGTATCAAACTAAAAATAAATTATAGAAAATATAGAAATTAAATAGTGAAAAAACCTCTTCATAAAATTTAAACTACAATTTATTTAATACACATATTCTATATACATTTAATATTCCTGCTAAATATGCACACTCAGTTCATTAATAATTTTGTTATAGTCTGTTTCTGTAACTTTGTAAACAGGCACATATGTAATAGACCTATCTGGTCTTCAAATATTTCACTTTTAGTTGGAGAATATTTAAATTAATACTGCTAACTTGAGGTCATTCTAATATTTTCCTTTGGGGGCTGTATTTGTATTTTTTACCATTTAAATAACGAATTGAAATAAATTAATATCATATCTGAAAGAAAGAAAGTAGTATTATACCTGAAAACTGCTCTTCAAATGTGGTCCATAAAAGGAACAGCCAAGATCACAAGGTAGTATTTCTGGACTTTGTTATTACATTGTGGGCTCTCACACAAGCAGTCAAGATTCAGCACCAATGTTACTATGATATTGCTGTTTCTTTGCAAGTTTGGGAATCGTCAAACATATTTTGTGATATTTTAAATTTAGTGCTCAGATATTCATTATAAACTAGCATTTATTTATATTAGTCTTAGTAGGTCAATATTACCTTTTTTTACATTGTTAAACACAATATTGTAATAATGAAAGTCTTCCGGATATTTCTAAAAAATCCTGAAAACCTCCGCTTTTCTTCCAGAGGAACACATTTTTTAAAATTATTTATCGGATTTCGGTGTTCCATGCCATAGATAAACGTTTATGCAATCGCGCGGTTTGTTTACATTCGGCGAATGAGTTTGATTTTACAATAAATATATGTCTGATTTATTTTTAGCAATGTTTTAATAATGAATCATACACATTTCAAAAACACATATGCAGTACTGAGTGTAAGTTATAAAAGCATTACTTTATATAAGTTTTGACATCCAATAGTGAAAATTATGAATTCCAAAGAAT